ATTTTTAATGCTTTTTAAGCTCAAAGAATGATGATCGTGTTATATTCAAGATCATATTATGCATGAATAAATAGTAAGTTCAACTGTCTTTTTAAAGTACCTGTGACATCCAATTTTGTCACAAATATGAATGCATTTTTAGGAAGATAACATTAATAACATATTGCAAAAAACTATAATAACAATAATTTATGGCGCTGAGATTAACAGCTGTTGAGATATTTGCAAATGAAATAACAGGAAGTGATGTCAAAGGGGAATTATCTAACTACACAGAAAATGGCTAACCCAGACTGATGATTTTTTTGAATCACTATCAGAGAGAAGAAGAAGAGACGGAGTTCAAATAATTAACAAAAACCAGCCAGTTCCTTTTCTTAAATAATTCCTCTTTGATGTCACTTACTGTTTCACTCTGGCTGAACTAAGTTCAAAAGACATGTCATGTGAATATGCCAAGTTAAAGATGTTTCCTTTGACTTTTTGTGTTTGAAGTACAGTATATGCACGTCACATGCACTTTAACGTAAACACATTACAGTCAGAATATCTGGGTGGAAAAGACGTATAAATTAGCTTTGTTGTCCTTTTGTTGTGATTGCTCAACTGAAAATCTTCTCAAATTGAATTTTACGACGTGAACTCCAAATATTATCCAGAAGCTCCTGAACTCGGCTGTGTTTTTGAATCCATCACGGCGGGTCCGGTCTTTCACCCTGCACTCTGTTTATTCCACTAATCTGACTTCAGAACATGGAGGGAAGAGTTTCACACATTCAGATTTCACTCTTTTCTTTAATCACACAAGGTTTTATCTAACTGGAATTCCAAAGAAAATAMAGCCTGAATCAATTTCTTATTTTGTGACTTTGGTTTGAAGATAATGGTGAGAGTCGCTTCAGACCAGTTTTAATTAGTTTTGCTTTTGTGTGCCGACAYGCAGAGTCAAAGAAGATTTACAGTTTCAAACGACGGTTAAAGAAACTATTTCAAATTTATTTGATTCAATCTGAGGCAGAGGAAGAAAAGGAACTTTTGATTTAATATTTTCATCGTCTCATTGCTGCTGCAGAGTTCTTTTTTCCAAATCGCTAAAGTTTCTACGACTCCATCAAAGAGAAGTGAAACACGACAGAAGACGTACCTCCGATCAGAGCCGAGTCCGTCTTCATGGCATTAACTAAAGGTTGACCCGAACCTACAGAACCAGACTGGTCTGGAGCAGAAACAGGAAAGCAGAGGGGAAGAAAAGAAAGAAACACACAGGAAGAACGTGGTTTAATGATGTAAATTCCACAAAAGACAAAGAGGAATGTTTAGAGACAATAACAACTGAAGCACCGATCCTAAAAGCTTTTATTAAAAGGGTCATAAAACTGGACCAGAGCATGACCAGAGGAAAGAATAGAAGCTCCCCTCTTTGGTCCAAATTAATTATCTTCACAAGAACATTATTATCCATCTCCTCAACAAGATGTCTGGTTTTAATGAGCATGTAGTATAGAATAAAAGGCCTTCGTTGAATAAATAGGGGAGAAACAAAGAGTAAAAAAAGGAATAAAATACATAATGCATGTTTCTACGACCACTTAATAGTTTGCTAACACAAACAGCTAATTGGCCAGAAAAGATCTGGATATTTCAAAAACTACTGATCTTCTGGAATTTTTACATACAACTATCTCTACTGTTTAAAGAGAATAGTGCCACTTCCTATCAGCTAAAACCAGGAAGCTCAACCTCACYACAACTGGACAATAAAACACTTCCTGGTCTKGATTCACTGGACTCCAGCAGGCCTCTAATCCACCAGGTCTCAGTCCAGT